TTGGCTCCCACGGCTGCCCACTTTCCCACGCTGCCATCCCCCTCTGTCCCCTCCCCCCAGGTCAGCACCCGGGCAGTGCCCAGGGCTCCTGGCACAAGGAAGGGATGCCATTTCCCCATCACCCCTGGGTACCCAGGCTCTTGGGGGTGCCTCACCACCAGCAACCAAGGAGCCCCAGGTTGAGTAAACATGGCATCAGGACAAGAACCCAAAGTGCCCCCCACCTCCTTGCAGGCTTTTCTGGGAAGTCCTGGGAAGCCTGGACACTCAGACACCCTGGCTCCCCGCAGCTGCCCCATCCTCTGGGCACTGGGGCAGAAGTTCAGCCTGTGGCGCCAGAGCCAGTGTGGGGGTGCCCCCAGCTCGGGTCTTAGACTCCCTGGAGGAGGGGCTGCAGAGCTGGGTGAGTGCTGGCTCCTTCCACTCTTGCCAGAGCGGCTGCTACCTGCAACCCTGGTCCTTTTCTTCCACCCCACTCCTGGGCTATGCGGAGCTCCATCCCAGCCACTCCCCCACAGGCCAGCATCCCCCCCTTTGCAGGCATCTCCTTTAATCTAAAGCAGGTGCCAGGCATTCCAGCCCTTGCTGAGTCGACACTGCCACCCACTAGGTCTCTGCCCAGAAGGCTACTGCCCTGCGTGTTCAGGGACGCTGAGTCTCCAGCCCAGGGCTTCTGCTTAACCCAGGTACCCAGAAGCTTAACCCAGGAAGGACCCAGACAGAGGCATGGGTGCCCAGCACAGATTCAATAAGCAAGTTCACTAGGCCCCACACTACCGCTGTTGTGCTAGTCCCAGATTTCTGTGTACCACCAATCCTTCTTCAGGACTCTGTAATCTCTTCCCACCTTGACCCTCAACTCCAGGAATTAGAGACTCATTTTGAACCTCCACATGGACCTCCAGAACCCATCTCTAGCCATGGGGCCCCTGTTATCCCAAGCACAAGAGTTACCCTGGATGGAAGATTATAGGTATTCTACCCCTAACCAGTGCCCTTTCAAACATTAAACTTCCCCCGCACCCCCACCCCTAATCAGGAGCAATACAGGTAGGCAGAGAACCTCTAGAGGGAGGTGGCTAGAACCTGGCCTTCCAGGCGTGGTTCTCCAAGGCCAAGGAGCCTGATCACCTAGGGGAGGCAGCACCTTCCTTCTCTACCAGATTTCCCTTACCCCTCACCTTCCTGGCCCATTCTCACTGCATCCTGAGGCTTCTAGCACCAGGCACCTTATAGATGGTACCAGAAAGACAGGGCCTGATCATGCTCTTCCCCTGGGGCCATGAAATCGTGGTCCTGACCCAGAGAAGGCAAGACTGTGCTAGGGAGCAGCAGATAAGCCAGGCCCCACAGAAGTGGCTGCTCTCTGGAGAGGCTGAGGAGTGGGGAGAACAAGAGGAGTGGAAGCCCACCCACCCTGGAGGTCATAATCAGAGCGCTGCCCAGAGGCATCAGTAGGATTCCAGCAGATACAGTGTGAAGACAGCTTTCCTAAGTAAAACAGGAAACCAAGGCCAAAGATCAAGTGGGCCCTGAGCCCCTATCCCAAGGCTCAGTCACATGCCCAGCTCACCTCTCCCAGAGCAACACTTTTCCTCCCGGCAGCAGAGCCCACCCCCCCACCCTCGCCCTGGCCCCGGCCCGGCCCCGACACAGACACACACCCCAAGCAGCAGACAGACTCAAGGAGGCGGGAGGAGGGGTGTCAGAAAAACCCGGAAGGAAGGAGGCTGGACAGACAGACAGAAGCAGATCCTGGCTTCACTGCTCCAGAGAGACACCCTCCAGACTCCCAGACTGTGAGGGACACTCTCGTTCTCAGCAACCCGGAGGGAGAAGGGGAGAGTAGACTTCAGTGTCTCCTGAAACCAAATTCCAGCAGCCCAGGAATAGGACATACTCCAGACAAGCAAGAAGGTTTAAGTCTCACTTCTCTTCCTCATATTCCTCCTCCAAGAGCTCCCCCGGACCAAGGCAGGGGGAGCCTCCCCTTAGCAGTGCAGGGACACCTCCAAGGAACTGTGTGACTGCCCCACCCCCCCAGCCAAGCCCACAGCACTGAGAATCCTTGGCCGGGGAGACTCCTCCAGTCACAGCCCCTCCTGCTCCTAGGCACTGCTTGGGGGCAGAGGGTAACCCCAGCAATCCCCAATCCTAATGCACCTCCTTCTGGAGGCTCCCATTAGCCAGGGAAGGAGTGCTGGGGTGCTGAGACCCAAGAGGTTGGTGAGCCTGGGAGGGGGACTACATCTCCCAGAAGCCCCCAGGGCAGGGTTGCTGCTCCAGCTGGCCCAAGGCCGGCCTTGTTCTCTCTGCTAGGGTGGCAGGGTCCCCTGGCTGCCCCTAAGCCCTCCCCCCTGAGCTCTGGGGCTGCCAACCTGACTGGGGGCCCAAGAGTAGCCACCACTAACCCTGGGGGCGTCCCCCACCCTTTAAACAGCCTGGGGGTGCGTGCCAGAGGGCAGCAGACAATCAGACTGTGTTCCCCCTCCCCAGTTCAAACTGGATCTCCCTCCTCGAGCCTCTGCCTGCCTGGCATGACTTTCGCCCTCGGCCCCAGCCCACCCCTCACCTCGCGCGGGTCGGGGGTCCTCACGCCAGGCCGGAGCTGGACGCCATGACCAGGTCAGGGTCGGTGACTGGACTGGGGTCCTCCGGCTTGCCAGTTGGAGGTGCGGAGGGGGGCGGGCAGGCGGTGATCTTTTGATCCTGGACGCCTTGATCTCAATACCAGCCCGGCCCGGGAGAAGGTCTCCGGGGGTCGCTGGGCGCCTGGGTTCCTGCCTCCCAACCGCCGAGCATGGTCGTGGGCGCCGGACAGCGGCGGGAGAGCGTGCACACCCGCCTGGCCCGGGGCTCGGGGCTGGGGTCTCGGCCCCGAACCTCACGGCTCCGGCTCCTGCTCCTCCTCCCTTCCTTCCTTCCTTGCTTCCTTCCTTCCTTCCTTCCTCCCTTCCTTCGCCTCCTCCTTTCACTTTCTCCGAGGCCCGCGGGGACGGCGGGCGCGGGGCGGGGAGGGGGCTGTCTGGGCGCTTATTGTTGGTCAGACGCCGAGGGTCCGGGTCGCAGCCCCCGGGCGGCGCGGCGCCGGGGGACCCAGGCGTGCGGGCGTCCGGCCGGCTGGCTCCGGGCGGCGGCAGTGGTGCAGCGGCCCCGGGTCCGGGGCATGTCCGGCCACTGGCTCCGCCGCGCGCCGCCGCCTCCCCGGGCTCCCCTGCGCTGCCGGAGCCTCGCTCGCCCCTCCACTCGGCTCCTCTCCCCAGCCTGAATAAGCATCGGGGCTCTCTGGCTGCCTCCTTCTGCCTTCATACCAGAGCCCGGAGAGGCCCCTGTCAAAATAAGAGCTCCCCCATCTCGCTCGCCTCCTCGCCCAACCCGGCTCCCCCAGCCTCCCAGTGGTCTGACTCGGTAAGGCGCCCGGCCCGCTAGCGGGAGGCAGGTTGGCCCGGGGGTTGGGGAGGGGGCTTCTACCCTGCTCTCCTCCCCATTCCTGAGGACTGGGGAAGAGACGCGCCAACAACATCCCAGGCTAGGGAGAGGTTTCACAAACCTACCCTCCAGTCTACACTGATTGGAAGGGGTGGGAGTTGCCTGGACTCCCCTCAGCACACACACACACACACACACACACACAACTGGGTCCCCTTTTCACTGTACCCACCCACATTCATTATGCACTGAGCACCTCTTTATTCATCTCTCTTTCCTAGTAGACCATGAGGTCCTTGAGGGCATAGACTGAATTTTTTTCATCTCAGTACCTAGCACAAAGTGGATGCTAAGAAAATGTGGAAGTAACATCTTTGTATTCTCAAAAAAACTCCTAACCTCAAAGTGCTCACACACACACTCAAGACCCTATAAGAAGACAGATGCAATGAAGAAGAAATTGTAAAGCACTTTTTAAAAGCATTTCACAAATGTTATTTCAATGTTTACCACAAACCCGTGAGAAAGAGGTTATGGCCCCATTACACTGGTGAGGAAACTGAGCCTTGCAGTAGTTAAGGACCTCCTCGGGGTTATACAGCTAGAAAGTGGTAAGCCCAGGAGAACAACTTGGGACTCCTTATCCCAGGACACTTCTCCTATATCCTACTGCTCCCACCCAAAATTAATGCCAACAAGTAACAAGACTGCTTCAGAAATGAAGAAGACTAACAAGCCTGTTTGCTCCTGATATTCGGTTCCACTGCCCTCTCCCCTGCCCCTCCTGGGTCCCCGGAGAGCCCTAGCCCTTATAGACCACCCTCTCTTCTGACTACCTATTACGTCTATGCCACCCAATAGAGTACCTACTTATATGTTTTGTTTCATATATATACGTTTGGTTGCCCCAAAAGATTCTTGAGGGCCCAGACTATGCTTCCTATACCTCTATATTCCCCACAGCACTCAAGTGCTGGGTTCATAGTAGAGCTTCCGTAAATACTCACTTGCTGGGGGAAAAAAAAACAAAAAAAACCTCACTTGATGGGCTGATAGTGTCAGCAGCTGGGCGCTGGGCAAAGTCTGAGGAGGCACAGGTGGAGATGAGGGAGATGAGGCCCTAAAAAAAGATCACATAATAACCCCCGTGTGTGTCTAACATCAGTTTACAAAGCATCTTCATACGCATTCTCTCTAGATCATGTTTTGATCCGATCAAAACAACTCCCCCAAATGCCTACTAACTGCTGTGCCAAACACCAAGCTGGGTTAGGGGTTGGATCATCACAACCTCATGAGGTAGGTATTCCCACGGAAAACCGAAGCCCAGAAAAGCTGAGCTCTGGTGTGAAAGATCCTAGAGCCTAGGATAAGACCTGACCTGCAGAAGTAGTGTTTAATTTCCTCCCCTCTCTCCAGGGTCCGGTGGATATAGTATGTGCCACAAGGCAAAAGGGCCATTTCTCAAACAGGATGCTTGTTAGGAGGAAGGGGCCACCCCATTTATGTGGATCAGTCTTGCGTTACATACATGACAAACCACATGGGCATGTTATGATCTGTTTGGCACAATGCCCGGTTCACAGAAGGTCCAGAAAACAGTGTTTGCAGGAGTGAATGATGGCTGTGTTGCAAAAGGTCTGTTAAATGCGGTACACAGTAAGTTCAAGCGTATTCGGCATGTCCTGTGGAGCAGCCATGTAGAGCGCTCCCCTGGGTGGGGCTGTGACTCATTCCCCCAGTGTAGGTTCCAGGTTGGGATGCGGAGTTGAGCTCCGGGCAGCCACGAGTTCTGGGTGGAACCCTGGAGTGAGCGAGGAGAGGAGGAGAGGGGCTGGCGCCCCTGCTGGAATGGAGCGGCTCCCTCTACTGGCGAACTCGAGGAATCACCGGGTGTTTCCATGTATCTGTGTGTCACTGTGTCACGAGGAGTGTCACAGGTGTGTCAGCGACTGTCGGTGGAAGGTGCCGGCACGGGTATAGGTGTGTGAGGGTGCCTGTTCCTGGCGCAGGGTGGGTGTGCCAGCGCCACGCGGTCCTGGCTCTGGAACCACAGTGTACACACACAAGCACATCATGTAATACAATTTACTTTGGGACTGGAGGCGGGGGTGGGGGGTGGGGGGCGGCGCTAGGGAGGCTGATTATCTGAGATTACTTCGCGAGGTGATTAGGACTCAAGGATCCTCCAGCTGAAACACCTCACCGACCTCATGCAGGTGGGAGGGATTCAGGACTGAAGAACAGTTCCCAGGAAGGGACTCTAATCCCCTAAAGCAACTAAGGACCCAAGAAAGGGTTAACTTTGAGCCCTACAGTGACTTCAATCATTGGCTCAGAGCACTGTCAGTCAGAGTTCTGGGGGCGGGGTTTTCGGGGCCGCCTTCGGACTGCCCAGGGCCCCTCACTTGCCCCTCGACCCCCACATCATTTCACTTCTGGGCTGCGCCCGCACCCCCATCTTGGTGGAGACACCTGCCTGGGCCTGGAGGAGGAGCGGATCCGGGCATCCTGGCTTCCCCACTCACTCCAGCTGCCTGGCTTCCTGATAGATGGTGATTATTATATAATAGACCTGCTGGACAGAACCCTGCCAGCGCTCGGAACACTTTGCCCCTCCTCGAAGCGTGCCCCAAAAGACCTGGCACCAGCCGCCCAGAGTCCGCTGTCCAGCTCTGCCGGCGCCCCCAGCACCACCCCCATCCCGGGGCGGGAGACCCCTGGGCCACCTTCACCGGTGGACCCGGGGCCACGTCTTGGGATGGGGCGGGCGCCAGGCTGGGAGTCGGGCGGGCGCCCAGCAGGTCTCAGTGTCGGCCTGCGGAGTTTGGCTTTACCAGCGCCTCGCCAGGAATATGGGACCCACCTGGCCCCTCCAACCTGAACTTGGAACTTGGGAACCAATGGAGGTGGGGATAGGGGGCGCAGGGGCCAGGATCGGAAAGGGAAAGAAGTTTGGGAAAGGTGCGGGGGCAGGAAAAAGGAGGCTGGGAGAGGGGGCCGGCGGGGGCAGTGGGGGGAGGGACTCTTATCCTGACAGGGCTCCCGCCTTCCCCGACTGGAGGGTTTGGAAAAACTGAGCAGGCAGCCAAGGCTTGGCTGGAAATCCTGCAGCCCACCCTCCTGGGGACACAAAGCTGGAGGGCGGAGGCAGGGCGGGGGAAGAGAGCACGACCCCGGGGAGGGCAGGGCCTCTTTTGGGTCTGGGGGCCCAGGGGCCAGGTCCCTGGGGAGGGGGTTCCTGGCGCTGTCTCCCTGCAGTCTGCTTCCCCCTTCTTCTCTTTCCCCCCCTCCTCTCCCCCCTCCTCCCCCTCCCCGGCTCCAGTCTTGCAGATTGCGGGCAGACTTAACTCCTTGCGCGCCAGCCTGGTGGACTCCGAGGTGGTGACGCTGGGAGGGAGGGAAGGAGGGAGGGACTCCGGACCCCACTCCCACCACTGTTTAACACCTTGTGGCCCGGACTGCAATCTCGGGATTTGGGCTGGTCAGAGCCTTGGAGGGCTGGCTGCCTCGTACTCGAGGAGAGACGCACAAAACCCGGCACCTGAGAGCGGCGTGGTCCGGCCCATTCTGCTGCCAAATCTTAATTGTCTACGCTCGCGCCACCCCAGTCCTGTGTGTCTCTCCCTCCACTCTTTGGCCACCCTCCCCCCACCACTAGTCGTTACAAAGGTCCCTGCCAGACGGAAGGCTGCGGAGAACCCGGAAGTCTGGCTTCTGCGGCTGCCCCAGCATTCTGAGTCCCCCGTGAGGCCCAGCGCAGGTGACCACAACCCTTGCCTCTTTTGCCTCCAGGGGGCCCCTTCACCTTTCTGCGGAGGTGGCTCCCCACCTGAGGCGGGGAACGCTAGCCTCCGCCAGCTCCGGCTAGGACAGGGGCCCGAGTAGCTGGAAACCCTGATTTCGCCTCCACCCTGGCCCCTTTCCTGGGCAACACCCCCTCCACCATCAGATTTGCCTTCCAGTTCTCTGAATGACTGCCTGAGGGAAGTAACCCAGGCTGGGCAGGAAGGGGTTAACGGGGCTACCCGACACCGTGGAGAGCCAGGTGAGGCACCGCCCATCTTGGCCTTGGGGGGGGTGGGGGGTGTTTGTGGGGGGGGTGTTGTGGGGGGGAGGTGGAGGGACACTGACCTAAGGGCTGCTTTTTTTTTTTTTTTGCCCCCTGGTGGCTAGATCTGGCGTAGCGGCGCAAGCTATGCTCAGGTGGGGATGGGTGGAAGAAGGACTTTGGAGACAGAGTACTCCTCCGGAAGGAACAGCACTTCCGGAGGTAAAGAGAATCCTCTGGGAAGGCTCGTGGAAGGAGGGAGCTCCCACAATGCCTGCCCTGTTACCCCCACTCAGCGGGCTGCCTCAGCCACTTCCAGATCTTTGCCTGAGGGGACTCTACTTGTGGGGCCCAGGTACCCAGGGGGGCTGGGGTAGGGGGGAGAAAGACCTAGCCCTGTCCTCCCAGGGTCTCAACCTAACAGAGGGGGTCAAGTGAAGGAAGCTGCTCCTCACCTTCTTTTTCTTTCTGTGCCCCCAGCCTTCCCAGAAGGCCCATTCCCTCCAGACCCCAACATCAAATTCAAACCTGTAGCCAGGCTTCAGAGCTCCCACCAGCTACCCTGTTGCACTTCAGCTTTCCCTCCCTCCAGCCAAGCTGCCCTCTGGTTTCTCCTCATAAAAGAACCCCTCTTGAGGGATTCTAGGTGCTCACAACCACTTCCCTTTCTCCCGCTCAGGGCTGAGACCCTTCTTCTCCTCCACCCGGAAGCCCTCCCAGGTTATTGAAGGCCATGCTCTTGCAGGCTTCCTTCCTTCCTTCTTTGTTTTTCCTTTCAGTGGGCTTACTTCCCTCCCTCTCACCATTTCCCATTAGACTTCCTTTGAGTCTGGGAGGTTCACCCAAACAGGGACAATTCTGTCCTCCTTTCAGGCTGTGACACCTGCCTCAACATTTGCCTTTTCCTCCTGGAATCCTTCTCTGACCAACCCCATCTACTTACTCATTCAAAAACTATTTTTGAGAACCTACTATGCGCCGGGCACTGGACAAAACAGTAGGTATATGTCGGTGAACAAGACAGATGTGGTCCTTGCCCTCAGAGCCTGCAGTCTAGGTGGGGACAGACAAGCGAACAAAGTGATTTCAATTCAGTGTCATGAAGCCTTGGGGAGCACTTCAGAGAGACCCCTATTCTGGACTTGGGAGTCTGGAAAGTTTCCTGCAAACCCCGGGAGCAACATCTGGGCTGAGACTTATGCCTGCCTAAGGTGTGACTGTCCAGGCAGATAGTACATCTCCCTGGAGCCCTAAAGATAGACCAGGATCCCAGCAAGGGACCTCACCAGATGTTACAAGGGAGGAGGGAGGGATCTTTAAGCCTGCTTTTCCAAACAACCCATTTCTTTTCTTTTTGTTTTTTAAAGATTTTATTTTTTAAGTAATCTCTACACCCAATATGGGGCTCAAACCCACAACCCCGAAATCAAGAGTCACATGCTCTGCTGACTGAGCCAGCCAGGTACCCCCCTGCCCCCAAACAATTCATTTCTAATAAATTCCCCAAGCCCCAAAAGAAAGAAGACTGACCTGAGAGTCAAGAGTATGTGACCCTGGCCTAGTCACAGGTGACCCTGGCCTAGTCACACCGTGTCTCGGGGCCCTTAGTTTTTTCAAATGTAAACCAAAAGGGTTGGATGAGTTTTTCTTCAGGCTCTTTATCGGAAAGATAACAATTAAAGAGCAGGCTGGGTTAGTTGAGAGAGAAACACTCACCTCTGTGGTGGGCTTGGGGAGGGGAGAGTGGCATTCAGAAGCCCGGGAGAGGCTACCAGAGGCAGGGGCCCGGAGAAAGCCACATGTCACCTCCTACCCCTCACTGTGCACATTGCCTGGCAGTTCTGAGTCCTGGGAACATTTTAATTTCTGCCATCAACTGGCCGCAAGAGCCTTTCTGAGATTGTCCTGGGAGGGGAGAGCATGGGGACAAGCACTCACAGGATACACTTAGTTACTGCACTAATTTGCTCTAATACGGAACACTAGAGAGCTTTTGTTTTTAAGAGAATATTCACAGGTGGGGGCGCCTAGGTGGCTCCGTCGGTTAAGCCTCCCACTCTTGGTTTCTGGCTCAGGTCATGATCTCGGGGTCCTGAGATTGAGCCCCGTGTCAGCTCCCTGCTCAGTGCAGAGTCTGCTTAAGACTCTCTCTCCCTCTCCCTCTGCCCCCCCCCCAAAAGACTGTTCACAGGTGAGGAAACTGAGGCCCAGTGTGGTGATAAGATGGTGGCTGGTGAGTGATGGCTGGCAGGGGTGCCCAGGCCTCCTGATTCCCAGTCCAGAACCTTCCCACCACACCACTGCAGTGCTCGCTTCCAACTTTCCATTGGACTTCTTCCTGTGTCTGGCTCATTTCCCTGTGAGGCCACGAGATCTGGGAAGGCAGGCTTGGCCTCCTTATCTGGACATCCCGCAGAGCCTGGTGCAGGGCTCTGAACACAGGGAGGGCTGCTCAGCTGCCCCAGGCCCGTAGGCCGCCCTCTTCTCTCTCATCAGGACTCTCTTTATATGCAGGTAGCTCTCTGGCCCAGTGGAAAAATGGCATCCCTGGATTGTGGACAAATCCCCGAGACCGGCGTAGTCCCAGTCCCAGCCAGGCCTCAAACCTGCTCTGTGACTTCGAGCAAGCTGATGGACCTTCCTGGGGCTCATGTTCCCCATCTGTCAAGACCCATAACCAATTCTAATGGCTAGGGCATTTGGAACTTGAAGTCCCAGATTAGGAGATGGTTTTACAAGACATACCTCTGAGGTGAGAGAAGAAGCCTAACGTTCCAATCTTTTTGGCAGAATCTCACGGCCTCGGGACCACATCTGCTCCATCTGCTGGGACTGGGGTCCTGCCTCATGGGGTGCCTACACCCTGGCATTATGCTGGATCCCGCGGAAGTTGCAGGATATGAAACCTGAATATATTCTGGGATCCTGCGACCCAAATAATTTCCCACCACCAAAAATCATTTCAAAAAGGAATCCCAACGTTTAGTTGTATCTCCTGATGATCCAATTTGTAACCTGCGGGACCACTTGTTAAAATTCCCTTTCCTCTTCTATTCCACACACCTTGTAGCGGCTGACTCACTCTCCACCCGGCTCTGTCCTCTGTAGTCCACACAGCTCTCATCCCCTTATCATATGGACTGGCTTAGCCTGTCAGGCTTCATTATTTTCCTTTTCCTTTCACCCGTTACCCAGATTCTCCCTAACACACCAGAAAGCTGCCTGGCTCCTGCCTCTTGTCTCTCACCTGCTATTCTCCCAGTTTTGTATCACAAAAGCTCTGGAACTGAGCAAGCCAAGACAAGATTTCCAACAACAGGTGAAGGATAAAATTATCTTGGGGGTGAGGGGAGGGGAGACAGAGGGAGGCTGAGAAGATGAATCAGTGATGAATAAGTTTTGATCCTGTAACAGATACGACAGGCACCTGCCCTCAAGGAGCTCATAAGGTAAAAAAAAAAAAAAAAAAAAAAAGGAGCTCATAAGGTGGCGACAGTTAAAACACAATAAAAGATGCTAAATAATGAAAAGATGTGGACTTGATGTAATCAGTGCAGGTTGAATCCTCAGGGAGCCCTGTGGAGAAAGAGGAGACTGACCTCAGGTTCAGGGGAGCACAAGGGTTTGATGAGGGGCACAGAAAGAACAAAAGCAGGAGGAATCACAAATCTTGGTGGGAAGGGGCCTCAACGAAGACCAACTACCTGTTTCAGGATCTTTCTGCCACAACCCCCACCCCCCCACCGTCAACACCCCTGGCAAGCAGTGTGTCACCATCTTTTTGAACACCTTCAGGAGTGGGGAGCTTACCAACCCCCCAAGGCAGCCCGTTCCATTTATGAACATTTGTGGGGGTGTTTTAATTAAAGTTTTATTTAACCTAAGTTCTAGGCCCACCAGGGGGCTTGAACTCATGACCCTGAGACCAAGAGTCACATGTTCTACTGACTCAGCCAGCCAGGTACCCCAGTGAATGAACATTTGTTTTTCCTTCCTTTGATCTGACCTCTGTCTCCCAGTGGTCTCCACTTGTTAGTCCACACACTACCTCCTGGGGTCACACGATGTGAGTCTAATTCTTCCTCCCCATGATAGCCCTTCACATATTTGAGCTTTAATGACTCCTGACTCTTCTCCTCCTCTCCAGCCTAAACATTCCCAGTTCACTAAACAGTCACTGCCGTGACAACACCTGGCCAACTTAGAGTAAAGCAGGACTATCAATCCCCTTCTTTATTCCAAATACTATATCTCTATTAATATGGCCTAAAATTGAATTTACTTTTGGCAACCATATTATGCTGATGACTTGGACTGAACTTACTAAACTCCTTAATTCTGTGATTCTGTTTCACCTGAATTGTTTCTTTCTTTCTTTCTTTTTTTTTTTTTTCTTCACCTGAACTGCTTCTAAGCCATGTCTGGTCCCTTATACATTGCTGAGGTCTTACATAGACTGCTGATCATTTCATCTTGTTACGTTGGCCTGACATTCTATGCATGGAGATGATTTTGGGATCCTTATCTTGTCCTTCAAAGTGTTTACTATCTCTCCAGGCTTATATGTGTGGAATGGGATACTATATTTTCATATAAGATAATAAAAAAAAGTATTTAACAGGACAGAGATGAAGACAAAACCCTAAAACACACAAATGTTCTCTGGGTTGATACCAATCTGTGTCACACTGAGAAGCAAGAAGATACATGGTTTTGTAGGTGGGATGGTGTCACATCATCATGAGCCTCAAAAGCCTAAAGGAAGAATAAGAAAACTCAGAAGGTTTTTGAGTACAAGAGTCTTATGGAAGCATCTTGATATAGCAAAAAATAAAACAGAACACTAACTTTGGAACTTTACAGATCTGATTTTTTGAGTCCTAGCTCTGTTGCTTTCTAGTTGTAGAACTTTGAGCAAATTACTTTAACCACTTAGGACATCGTTTCTCCTGTAGAATGGGATAATACCTACTCTATAGATTATTGTGGCAATTAAATGAGATGATATATATGAAAAACATCATACCTAATAGGCTCTCAAAAAATTAAGAAGAAAAAGCGGGAGAAAGAAGGAGGAGAGAAAAAAGTTGTGTTTAGGACAGGTTTGGTTTCTGAGGGGAGACTACATTTATGATAGACCCAAGCAAAAAGTCCAAGTGTGAAGTGAGCCTCTAGTGAGGCCCAGATTGACTTGCTGGATGCTTGGTCCCAGGCAACATCTACAAAATGATAGAGGGCTAGAAGCAGATGTGGACGATATTTCAGAAGGAGAATTGATTCACCTTGGATGATGTGGAAAATGACAGAGAAAGGAGACATGGGCAGCAACAGGGAAGTACACAGAGGGGTGATGGATTAGGGAAGAAGGGTTCATATTTATTTTTTTTAAAGGTTTTATTTATTTATTTGAGAGAGAGAATGAGAGACAGAGAGCATGAGAGGGAAGAAGGTCAGAGGGAGAAGCAGACCCCCCGCTGATCAGGGAGCCCGATGTGGGACTCGATCCCGGGACTCCGGGATCATGACCTGAGCTGAAGGCAATCGCTCAACCAACTGAGCCACCCAGGCACCCAGAAGGGTTCATATTTAGAGTGGTAGAAGTAGGCAGGACAGTAGGACATCCCAGTGGATCTGACTGGTGAGGAGGTGGAGAGATCTAAGTGGAACTGTGGGGAGCAAAAGTCCGAGGGAGAGTTAGGTGTTTGTTTGGGAAGCACCCCGCCGGGGGTAGCTGTATAGCTTTAGGCCTTGGGTCCGGTCTCTGAGGGTGAGGTGGGAAGCCAACCAAGAATAGTACCCTCTAGGACACCCCAGGACCACCCTCATTCTGACTTAGGACTGGAGGAGAAAGTGCCCAAGAGGGCTTTCCCTCACCACTGCTCCAGGCCGCCTGGTCAGGGCAGAACAGATGAACACGACCTTAGGTTCCCCTTGACATCACTTCACCCAAACCCTGTCCCTCCAGGACTCTCTGCTCCTCGGCTCTGATATCAGAAGGACACAAGTTCCTGTCTAGCCAACAGACAGACTCTACCTTGTTGCTACAATCAGGGGCTTGAAAAGGGAGAGGGGGGAGGGGAGCTGTAGAAAGAGAGATTTGGACAGAAGCGGGTGGGGACCAACGGAGAGCCAGAGAGGAACAGAGAAGGCGGGGGATAAAGAGCAAGGTGAGCACCATGAGTATGTAGAAATGCAGGCTGATGGAGGAGAAAAAGAGAGACTGAAGGAGGGGGGCAGAAAAAAAGATTTGCCGAGAAACTGATGAAGTGCAACTGAGAAAACTGTTGCCATGGCGACGGGTCCAGAGGAGGGAGTAGGAATAGAAATCGGATTATGAGTTGGGGGAGTGGGGAGGGGGTCGTTCAAGACCCGGAGGCAGTGCCCCCCACACCAGGCCCGCCCCCTCCAGGCCTCCCCCTGGCCTGAGGACGGCCTTTCCCAGAGGGCTCCCCAAGGCCAGTCCAAGGAGTGCAGAGAGAACAGAAGCCTGGGAGGGGCTGGGGTTCTGGCACTTTCTCCGCTCCTCTCCACCCTGGGCTGACACAGAACAGATCTGTGCCCCACCCCCAGCGTGCCTCACTGGCTCCCGGACAGCTCTCCCCCCTCCGTCCAACCCAGTTTCTGTCCTCCTACCTCTTCCTCAGAGCCCGCCCCCCACCCACATGAAGAGAGGAGAGGGGCCTTGTTGTAAGAACCTACTGTGTGTCGGACACTGTGCTGGGCACCTCAGGCCCCACCGCAGCCCCTGGAGGAGGGGTACCACCTCCATCGACAGACGGGAAACTGGGCGCAGGGTCCCAAGCCAGAAAGCAGCAGCCCGAGGTGGGCTGCGTAGTCCTGGCTCATCGGCTTCAACGCCATTTACTGCCCTCCGTGCCACCCCCCCCGCACCCCCCTCTGCAATCCCCCCCCCGCAACCCCCCCCCCAGCCTGCTACCTTCCACCGCCCGCTTCCCACGCCCAGCGGTCCCCGCACCCTTAGGCCAGGATGGGCAGGATGGGAGGTGCGGGTGGGGGGGGGGGACCAGTTCAGTTCTTGGAGACAGAGAACTGGGGACCCACGAGGCAAACGCGCCGCAGCCTCAGCAGCCCGCGGGGCTCCCGGCGGAGTGGGAGGCGCAGGGGAGCGCCGAGCTCAGGGCTAGGGGAGCGGGGAGGAAGGGCTGAGGGGGAGAGGCTGGGGGGGGGGGTGAGGGGAAGCTCGAGGCAGGCGTTTCCGGCAGAGCCGAGGAGAAACTTCCAGCAAGGCCGAGTGGGGAGCACTCAGGCTTGCGGCTTCTGAGCTGCTGAGCGAGTGTGACTGGGGGCAGGTCCCTGCAAGTGGGAGGGGCTGTGGGGGGGACCGCGGTCTCCCCCCCCCCTCCCTCGGGCTTCTGAACAAATAACAGTTTTGTAAAGGGCACCGGATCTGCTGTGCATATCAAACAGGGCCTGAGGCGCCGGGAGAAGGCAGAGTTGGGGGCTGCGACCTGGGGGAGCTGTGCTAAGACCACCCCTCCCTGCCAGAGGGTGCCGTGGGATTCCGAAGGATTCGGGCCCCTTCCCCTACGCCTTGCTTTCCCTCCTAGCAGCCACCTTGAAACACCTCCCTGTTCTCTCTGGGGACTGGCTAACCCAGAAGTGGAGGGAGGTCAGCAACGGCTGGACCCCAAGAGGGGCTGCAGGGCACAGTTCTGTTGGGTCCCCTGGTCGCTGGGCTTGAGCTCGCAGGTCCCTGCCTCACACCCCTGTAGAGGGGGAGGAGGGGATAGAGCTCCTTCCTCTTCAGGCCTGAAGGGAAGGCTGCCCCAGACCAGCTCACTTCTGCTTCAGTTCACCCCTTCTCCACACTCCACCGATACCCCAGGAAGCCCCTCCTGACCTCCTTCCCTGTGCCCACCATAGGTTCCTACAGACAACCCGGGAAGGGCAGGCACCCAGCCTGAGGTACAAGAGGGTAAGGAACTGTGGGGGGTGGGGAGTGGGGGAAGAAGACTCTTCCTACCCTTCCCCTTCACACCTTCCCTCCTTAGGCTGTTGGCTTCTTAGCCCTTCACGGAATCCCAGACCCAGCTCCACCCAGACCATCAGTCCTTCAACACCCTTGTGCCCAGCCCAGTCGCCCTCATTCCCACACCTTCACTTCCAGAGGGAGGCAATCTCCATGACCCCTACTGCCAAAGCCAAGGAGCACATTTCAAATCTCTCCCACTCCTGTGAACCAGTTTACTGTGGAGCATGGCCCCTGGAAGCATTCTTCTTCTGGTACCTGGGATACCACGCCCTCCTGGCTCTTCTCTTTTTCCTTTGAGGGAAGCTTCTCAGTCTCTTTTACAGTCTCCTCTTTCCCTTTGACCATGATGGTATTCCCCAGGCTCTGTCCTTGCTCTTGTCTTCTCACAGGCCGGCGCTCCTCCCCGAGGCCAAAGCTGTCACACCTGTGCCCACAGCCTTCCGGAGCTCCAGACCATGCATCCAACTACCTTCCACACACCTCCACCTGGGTGTCCTTCAGGCACTTCAGTTCAGCGAGTTCAAAAGTGACAGATCTCCTACCCGTCCCCACAAATCTCCTTCCACCCCCCACTCCTCCCCCCAGCACTCCAGCTGGTGACAGTGCCACCATTTGCCCAGCTGCCCAAGCGAGCACCTGGGAGGCATCCTTCACTCTGCTCCCTACCCTGCCCCGTAGCCCTCCCAATCAAACCATCACCCCCAAATTCCCTCATTGGTCATTTTTTGCCCAGAATCTTATCTCAGCAGTGTGTCAAGAGACATCTAAAATATCTCGCAGCTATTCATCCAACACAATCTCTACACTGCAGCAAAAATCATCTTTTTAAGATACAAATTTAATCATGACACTCTCCAGTTTAAAACCCTTCAACTGCTTCTTTTTATCCTTAGGATAAAAATTAAAATTCTTTTTAAAAAAATCAAAATTCTTTAAAGGGGCTTACAGAGCTCTTCATCTGGTCCTGGTTACTTCTCCAGTGACTTCCCCAAATTCCACTCTAAACCTCCAGTCCTTTAATGAGGTTTTGCAGCTCTCTCAGCCTAGAACAATCTCCCCTCTCCCCCTTCCCTCACTCCACCTTCACCCTGTGAACTCCTGCCCAACTTTCAGGGCTTCACTTATTTACTACTTCCTCCAGGAGACCCTCCAGGACTGCCCAAGCCCATGGAAGTTGCCGCTTCCATGAGGAGCCTCGTTGGCAAGCCATTTAATGTCTCTGACCTTAGTTTCCTCATTAATACAATGAGGATAATAACAGTACCCCCCACCCCAGGTTGCTATGAGGATTAAGCAAGAAAATAAATGAAAGACTTAGTGCAGCGCCTGACGTGGTAAACACTCGACAAATAATAACTGTTAGCGTGACTTTTTCTACTAAAATCCTGCTGCAGTGTGGTAGAGTGTCCTCCAGTATTTCCCATTATACCATAATTTCTTGGAGAGCAATCTTGTTCACCTCTGAATGCCCGGTACTTAGCGCAGTGACTGGTGCAAAGGCATTTAATAAACATTTATTGAATAAATTAATTCATGTTAATTCGGCCACCATTATTTCTTGGAAGGATTAGCTCTCCTTCAGGCCTAAGGAGAGGCTTAATTACCCCACAATCAAGCCTCCACCTTCTCCTACAATCATCTTTCTCCAACCAAACTGAATTTTGCCACTTCCCTGCTTTGACCCTGTCAGAGGCTCCTCGCTGTCTCTAAACATGGTGGGCCGGGCCTTTGCAGGACTTTTGTTTCTTTGCGTCTGCTCCTCCTCTCTCTCCCCTTCCCTCGCAAGCCCTCCTTGCCAGGGCTCTGCCCACTGGTGACACTGAACCCCTGCCTGCTTCGACAAACCCTCCGGCCTCTATCCC